TCAGACATCTAGAGAAATTACTGCAAGAGAACTCTGGATTAACTTTGAGTTTGTTTTTAATTCTAGGCTCTTGTTTTCTGCTTGAATAGAAATAATAATACTTTTCTGTTTCCTGGGGTTCAGCTGAAAAAAACACTATAAAAAATGCCTGTAGAACAGATTGAGAAATTACACTATTGAAGGCTAAGCAAGCACCTAGAATTGATACCCAGTGAATTTTAAACATATCTTCATAACAGAAAAACATTGGCAGTCATATTAAAAATTAAAATTCAGTATTTGGCAAACACCAGCCAATTCTCTTTAGAGAGTTTTCTAATCACACAACAGACAAACACAAAAGTGTTAGAAGATACCTAAGATACCTAACTCCTTTTTCCACAAAAATAAAATTTACACTACCTAATCTTCATATTCACTAATTACTTCTAAACCTTGACATCTAACTGGGGTGTACCACTTCCAATCTGTTTCTTTTGACAGCTTCCTTCACTGCAGACCTTCATTGGCATGGGCCCACTCATCCAATTTAGCCCTGCTCTCACAAATAGGTTTCTGCAGAAAACAGTTCATTCTGAAACTATGGCAAGCTCTGTCTGCAACATAAACAAGTCAAATCTTTGCTGCCAAGCCTGTAAATCCAAGAAAGAAGGAAATTCAGAGCTGCAGCACCTACTAATGCACAGGAACATATTTTGTGTATTACCTCACTAGGAGGCAGTAAAGCAGCAGTTGATTCTCTTTATCCTTCCTGAATACACAAAGTAAATAGTCTTCAAAGCTATCTTATGTACACTCTATCTTCCTAGCAGTACAAACCTTCAGCACATGCGAGAATCAAGAAATGAGGCTTAATGGACCTATTTGGCACAAGTAAGGCACAGAAACCAGGAAAAGGTGCCCAAACCGGGATTGGATCAAGACATTTCAGACTAAGCATCTGGAGGAAGAATGGCAGTGTGATTTTGTACCACCATGATCCTTCATCCAATGATGGCAGCACTCTGTGCTGCAGGAAACTGGCCCAGACTACAGTGAGCACTTCTGAAACCTCATCCTCCTCCTCATCCTCTGTCTAGGCAGAGCTGCTGGGGTCACCTATCCACTCAGAAGTGGCAAGGCTCCCTTCTGAAGGTAAAGCACCTGGACTCTCTCTTAGAAAGATCCAAACAATTTCTTTTTCTTTGAAAAGAGGAATACTGTTTACATTTAGAACATTTCCCAGGAAAGAATTTTAATTACCTGTTTAAAAGCCATGGAGACATCCTCCATTCTTGATAAAGCCGTGCACCGTGACTGAAAGGAATGCAAGGCCTACACACAAGACACCAGGAAGCTCAACTTCATAGTTTTGCCATTAGGAGAGTTCTGGGCAAGTTGGCGGAGCTGGATTTCAGACTAAGCCTATTTATGCGCTAATATTAAACAGCCATTTAAAAAGAACAGAAACTAGAGGGGCAAGAGTGATCTCAATCTCTTCTAACCACTAAGCCTCAGAGTTAAGTGAATGTCCACTTGTTTCCTCTCTGTCATTCATTCCTCTAAGGTCACTCAGCTTCATCAGGTGGTGCAAAGGACTCACTTAGCTTAGCTGGCCTGGTATGCGGTGGTTAGACCAGGGAAGCAGAACACTCAAGTGTGCATCTCTTAACCCAAAGGGGGAATTTCAACTGGCTTTTCTACTTCTTGGGAGACTAATTAAAATTACTCTCTAATTATGGTATAACACAGGGATTCTTTCATCCAAAAAATAAAACAAAATAGCAAGGACAATATGCAAAATACACAGATACCTAACAGTTAGAGACTTGGTCAATTGGTTTTCAGGTACAACTAAAGTTCAGAGATTTTCAAAACGTGGTTTTGTATCAATATAAGCATACAGCTGTCATCCAAAACCCTCAAGAAAACAGTACTACGATTATTTGTTTCTCAACATGGATTAAATGCCTTTCTGCAACTGTAAATTATAATCCAGAAGTCCTTGTACAGATGCATATTGTATCTGTAAATATGCATTTTTCAGGTTCAACTGGTAAGAAGGATGCAAACTTAAGTCTACAGCACATTAGGTCTTACACTGCCTGTAAACCTAAGTTCCAAAACATAACACCCCCACCACAACCCACAAATGTAAATCAGGCAAGTTAACAAGTAAAAATCTGGTACCCTTGCTGAAGCTACATCCTTTTAATACATCATATTCCTTTCAGCTACAACTCCATTAAAATTATCTGGGCTTGCTAAAATTTTCAGGATTTCAGCTGCATTTAGATTACTTTGCATAAATGAAATTTAGGATTACAATGCTGCTCATACATCTCAGAAAATATCTAACCAAAAGCTGAAGTCTTGCAGTATAAGAGCCGGCAGATGAAAAATGAGAGCAGCATTTAGACCCACTCTCAGCAGTGCTGAGTCAATGTAACTATGGAAGAACAAGTTGCTTTCTATTCTGCTTCACCTATCTACAGCTCGTCAGCTGGGGTCTGAATGCAGATGCTTCAGCGCAAGGTACAACGCAAGCTGCAAAAGCCACAGATATAAATCCAGAAATCAAATGAATTTATAGTGATGATTAAATACAAGAAAACCAAAAGCTTTTATTAATGAAGGAAGTCTACCCAAACTACTTAAAGAATAAATGTTCTTCTATAAGTTATGTGTGAATGATAAGGAAGGATACTGAAAATGCATTTTTCATAATAAATTCAAAATAACTCGATTATATTGGTCTTTAGAAATCTCCACCGCAAAAGGAAGGACACACATTAAGAAATACCCGCTATGAAAAAGTTGCAAGTCTTGAAAAATAGCAGCGCTTTGCCTCCTCCCTCCCCTTTCCCCTACTCACCCTCCTCCCCAATTTCAAAATACATCTTCCCCAGGCCTTGGTCTGGAATGGCAGTTTCTGTGAACAGACCATACCCGACCATATGATTAGCCATCATTATTATTATTATCACCTCTTATACGCTACTCTACATTAAGATGCAAATCCAACCGATGTGGTCTAACTAAGTTATTTACAAGGGTTTCTCTTTCAGATGTCCAAGCCAAAGCTACAACCAGTTCTGCGATATAATTACAGCCTCTCTGCACGGGCAGTAACAGACCTCTGTCTGCGATGATCTGGCCAGCGGCATTTTCTCATCTACGCTCTGGTTCAAGCGGTTGCTATGATTTCAAATGGTGCATCTACCCTTATTTTAGCGCGACTGGCTGCATTTCAGCCGCCGACATCTGACTGATTGATGCACATCTAAACAACGCAGCGATTATAAAAACAAACTGGCAGTAGGCACCGGTGTTTCACCACCGTGGGCTCGCTCCTAACAGAGCGGCTGGCAACGAGACCGTGGGAATTTAAGAGAAACACCAGCACACATGAGGCCTAATACTCACAGCCGTCACTCCCACCGAGAAACAGGCTGGCATCCTGCACTTTTAAGAGTGGGAAGTTCATGGAAATACCTATGCAGGTATCTGAACAGGCAGATCTCTCGTCTGCCGCACGAAAGCATCCAGGTGCTTCTTCCCCTGCACATCGACCACAGCACGTCCACCAAGAAAGTGCACTCGAGGGCTGCCTGACCCGATACACCACTGGGGAAACTGCTTTCCGCTCCCACGGCTCCAGCCTCTGGCCAGATTCTCCACCGTATTCCATACGGGAGCACCCCAAACTCCCCGCACACGCGACTGAGGGGAGAGCGAGCGGCGGAAACCACCGGAGCCCCCGGCCCCTGCCCCCGCTCCGCCGCCCTCGGCCGGCGCCCGCCCACGGGGAGCCCGGGGCTGCGGGCGCGGCTCCCGAGGGGGCGGCGGGATGGAGGGAATGCCCTGCCGCCCGGGGGAGGGCGGAGGCGGGCGGGCGAGGGAAGGGAGCCGCGGGGCAGGCACCTGAGCGGGCGTGGGCAGCCCCCGGGCCGGAGATCCGGGCACCGGGGCGGGGAGGAGGGCACGGAGGGGGGGCGGGAGGCCCGCAGGCCCCGGCGGGGCGGGCCGGGCCGGGCCGCAGGTGGGCGTCGGGCGCGGCCGCCGGAGGAGCGGCCGCCGGGCAAGTCACCTCTTGACGCGGATGATCTGGTCGCGCATGGGTCGGATGTCCTGGAAGCTCTGCTGGTTGACCAGGCTGTAGACGAGGATGAAGCCCTGCCCGTTCTTGATGTAGAGGTCCCGCATGGAGGCGAACTGCTCAGTGCCCGCCGTGTCCAGGATCTCCAGGACGGAGGGGGAGGCGTCCACCTCGATCTCCTTGCGGTAGAAGTCCTCGATGGTGGGGTCGTACTTCTCGATGAAGGTGCCGGTCACGAACTGCACCGTGAGCGCCGACTTCCCCACCCCGCCCGAGCCCAGCACCACCACCTTGTACTCGCGCATCCTCCCGCCAGCGCGGACCGCCCGCCCGACCCGCACCTGCCGACGGCCCCTCCTCACCCCCCCGCCATCGGCCGCCCCGCCCTGTGCCCGCCGCCGCAGCCGCCTCCGCTCCGCTCCCCGCCCGGCGGATGCTCCGGGCCGCCGCGGCGGCTCCTGGGCGGCGCTGCCGGCGGCGGGGCCGCGCTCACGGGCTGCGGCGCGGCCGGGGTGGGGCGGCGGCCCCGCCTCCTCCTTCCCGTGTCGCCACGGCAACAGCCAACGGGGCGGGACGGGGGAAGAAAGAGCGGGAGGAGGAGGAGGAGGAGGAGGAGGAAGAGGGCGGACACCGCCCCGTCACGTGGCGCGCCCCCCCTTCCTGCCCCCGGGCGCGGCGGCCGCACGTGATGCCAGCGGGTGGCGATGGGTGCGCTGCTGCGGCTGCTGTCGCCCGTGTCCCCTCCCGTGTCCCCTCCCGCGCCGTCGCCCGCCCTGCAGGCACAGCGTGCCCCGGCCCCGCTGGCCGGGCCGGCTCCGATCGGGAAGGGCCAGGCGCGGTCACGCGCGGGGCGGGACGAGCCAATGGGAGCGCGGGCCGGGCTCCCGCGGTTCCGCTTCCCGGGCTGCGGGGAGGCGGCTCCGGCGCGGTAAGTGCGGGCCGCTTCAAACCCGGCGGCTTTCCGGCCCTGCGAATCCCGCTGCTGGTTCTAAAAGTCAGCGGGGTTCGTCAAATCCATGGCAGTGATCCGCCGCGCGTTGGATCCCTTTGGACGCACTGCGGTCTGGGCTGTGCCTGCAAGGGGGCGGCCGGAGGTGTCTGTTTCCAGTGGGTGCCTGCCTTCTCGTCCCCTTCTCATAGAGAGAGAGGGCCAGAAAAGGTGGTGGTACAGTTTGGGAAAAGTGCTCCGTCAAAACAGTATGGAAAGTGAAGATGATTGATGGATGGAATTCACAGTTCCTCCCAGGAACTGTTATCGCTCCTGAAAGATGCTCACACTTGTATGCTTGTCTTTCTTCTATGAGACAGGTTTCTTTAACACTTCTTTTATTTTTCTTTTTTTTCTCAAACATAATTGTTTGGAATTATTTGATACAGGGAGTAAAGACTTTGTTTCTTTTAGAGGGTTAAAGGTCAGCCAGAACCCTGACTCTGCTGTTCAGATTCTTTCCGAAAGCTGTTGGAAATGACCAGAATCCTGGTGCTGCATTTCTTGTTGTGCTGTTCTTCCCATTGCATTGTCATGTCCTCGTCTGAAGTAAGGCCCAAGGTGTCGGCCTGCTTTCCATGCAGCTCCGGTTCTGCTTCCTTCTTGGCTTGTTTCCACTTTTCCAAACCTAACAGTAGCAGATGTATTGAGGGCTCTTTGAAGCACATTTGTCCCCGTCCGAGTCTTTCTGTTAAATGCTTGCCAAATGCAGTATTTTAAGCTTTCCAGTGTTTTGCTTGGGCATTCTGTTTGGCTTTTCTTTAGTGTGTTTTTGATTTTCTTTTTTGATTGCAGAACTCCAAAACAAATTTTTCTTAGTAGAATGGCAATAGCTTTGGTGCATCGAGGAGAAAGAAGATTATTTGCCACCTTCTTGCAGTTCCCATGTCCAAAGCTGCCGAAGCAAACTGGAAACCACATGTATTTGGGTGATTTAAATATATCAGTACCAAAGAGGCAGACCGTTTTTTACAGGGCTTTAGGAATTCATTTGTAAATATTGCAGGGCTTGGTCAGAACTGAGTAATAGTTTCAATTAATGATGTAATTTCTGTTGGTGATTTTAGACCTTCAAGTATTATAAATGAGCCTACGAGAATGTATAATATCACAAAATGCAAGATACTGCATGTACAGATTAATAACTATTTGTAGTGGAAATCCAGGAACTCTCCAGCAGAGTAATGGGAAAATATCTGCATTTATTAGTCAACAATGAAAGGAAGCTGCCAATTTAATGTGGTTGTGAAAAAACGGAGTGTGACAGTGGTGTGCACGCAGCCAAGCTTCTGAGTGACTGGTGAGACATTATTGTACCCAGTTCTGATAAGTCATGGCCAGGAAAGAGGAGTTTGTACAGAAGTACTTCTGGGAGGGTTACTGGAAATGAACAAAGCTTATCTACAAGAGTGCACTGGGAATATTTGTTTGATTAACCTAGGAAAAGCAAATGCAGGGGAGGGTTATGAGTAACCAGTAAGGCAGGGTGGAGTCAAGCTCAAGCGAGTAGGCATTTAACCTAATGAGCAACACTGATGGAAGAGCACGGATCTAAACTGATTATAATCTAGACAGAAAACTAAGCCCTGTCTCAGGGCAGTGAGGGTTTCGTCTTCCATGAAGAACAGTGAAGATGGACTTATCTAATAGGCTTTAAAATGTGTTGGGCATCAGAATAGGAAGATTATATGTAATTACACAAAACAGATTTAAGTGATCATTGTTGGAGGGAGGAGTTTTTTTGGGCCTCCCTGATTCATCCTGAGACCAGAGCAACCTCCTGATGTTCAGCAGAAAAAAGCTGTCAACTGCTGGCCCATGATGAGGAGGGTGGGAAGGCAACAATTCAGAAAGACGTAACAGGAATACTCCCGCTAAGGAGTCTTACACCAGGTTTTCAGTCTCTTAGATTTGATGGGCAGCAAAATAATATTTTGCTTAATAGTGCATGCAGAGACCTAAGAAATGTAGAAACTGGAAATGCAGAGGAATGGTGTAGACTATGGAGGATGTAAAAGAAAATGTAGGATGGTCAGCTGGAGGAGGTGCTGGATGCCATGAATGGATGACTGCCCAAGGATCTCGCCACTGTGGTTGAGAGCCTGAACATCTTGTCATTGCCTGTTTTTCTGAACTTCATTTTTGATTGTAATTCATCTGACAAGAGCAACAACAACATTGAAATTTTGCCTAATAAGTACTGGAGGCTTAGCCCTAAAAACAAATATAGTGCCAGCTATGTGGAGTTATTTCTAGTGAGGTGGTGGAGAACATGGGATCACTTAGGTGCTGCCAGTCTATTTTTATTGCATGTTATTATATTTCAGTTATTCTTTACTGAAGAACGGGAGAAAAAAAATAAGGTAGTAAATTGCAGGGAAAGAGAAACTTCCTGCCATAAAAGATTGAATTGGGCAAGGCTTGCCAGGCAAATATCTCAGCCCACAGCATGCTTTCCCAGCGTGACTTCCTTTGTAGCTTCTCACAGGAGACTCGAGAGTCATCTAGTCCCCCTGTGCTGTACAGCTGGGCTTTTGCCGGCTTCCTGGGATTTAGAAACTTCAGTTTTATTGCTCGCTTCTCAAATCTTTTTATGTCTTGTATCGAGCTGTCTTATTTCAAGCTTCAGTGGCCTGCGGCTTACTGCACTGTTATATGGTAGCCTGCAGTTTCTCAATAAATATTGAATTTTTATCTTGCGCAGCAACCAACATACTGGTTTGTAATTTTTTTGCTAGTTATTGTAGCCTCTGACTATGCATTAGGGTATGTATTTAAAAGAGGAAAATGGCTTCTAATATCTATTTCCATTCCAAAGCTAGGGTTTGCCAATTCTTCACTACTCTCAGTATCAGTCTCAAGATGTAAAGTGTAGCAGTATGAAGGATGGGGGAATCCTTAGTTCCCTTCCTCTGACAGCTGATGATGGGTTTCTGCCTCTGAAGCACAAGCAAATCTGTGAGATAAAGCTGTCTGTGCTACAAACTGTTCTGGCGTACATTTATTTTCCATGGTCAAGTGTTCTTTTAAGTGCATATTAGTAGAAGAACATGATTTCCTGTCCTTGTTTACCATCATGTCTTTACATTCAGGCTGTCAGTGCAGTTCCATCATCGCATGGATTTCTCCTAACTGTGTGTCATTACAGTATTTAGGAAGTGTTAAGGATTAAGATTTTGCTTAGTCTTTAATATTTCCCGCTAGATTAATTATCTTGTTAGTACAGTCCATAAAGTTGTTATCAAATTGAGGATGCAACTAGCTGTAGTGAAAGGCGGCTGACTTGGCTTATGCTCTCCTTAGCATTTTCAGGTAATTACACTGGTAATTTCCCTTTCATACCGGCAGTAAAGTTGTCCCATTCTTTTACCAAGTGCAGAATTCTAAATGTTTGACGCCTTTGTTGATTTCTAGGTGAGAGCAGGAACTGTCTGAGTGTACCTGTAAGACCAAGGAGGCTGGACCTCCTCCGTCATGTCTGGCAGCAGTCGGGTGGCACTCGCATTGCCCAAGAGCCCATCAGTGACAGCTAGCACCATCTCCAGCCTGCTGGAGGGACTAGGATCTAACTTACCACACTGGAAGAGCATGTTACAGAAGCAAGGTTTCGTTAACTTCACTGCTTGCAGGCCAGTTTGGGTTTGCTGGGGGTTTTTGTTTTGTTCTTGAGCAAATCTGAGCCCTCGTTTTGGAAGGTATGGTGAGCTTGCTTTAGTTTTGTAGTGGTGAAACCTTGTGTGAGCTCTGAGTGAGCTGATTTTTATGTCTGTGTCTAGCCTCACTGAAGTCAGGGGTGCTCTGTGCCAAGATAAGATAGCAGCTCTCCACAGACTTCACTGTAAGGCAGAGTCAAAATCTGCAGTGATGAATTACAGTCATCATTACACATCTGCATTGGCTGGGGCTAGCCATTCCCTACAGGCAGGGATTCATTCCTGTGTGCCATCCTGGGCTCAGCACCCTAAGATGGTAGATTAGGCTGATCTGTTCAGTGTAGCAAGTGTGATGGTCATCAGTATTGCTATGCTTTAGTTCTGGTACCTGGTTTTGGGAGGACAATTCACAAAGCTGAGGTAAGCTCTAGGAAATTCTTGGCAAAACCGAGACTTTAGCACTTGGATTCCCAGCAGCTAAGCATGCTGAGTGGGGAGATTTTAAACTAGATGATGGGAAATGTTCTTTGGGCAACTCGTTTCTGATCAGTTTTAATTGCTTATAGCTTTCACTTAAGCATACTTAGAGTCAAAGTGCCAAAATCTGAAGCAGACTCTTGTACATCCTGTGATGCATAGCAATGAAAGCAGACTCTGGAAGCTGGCTCTGTTAGCTCCCCAACTCTGCCCAACCCCACACTGCCTTTCTCCCTCTGACACCTGTGCTGGGCCATTTCAGCTCACTGCATTTGTAGAAAGTGAACCCAGATTATAAATACAAATTGTTTTATAATTCCTAGCTTCCAAGGGGCTCAGCCATGAAACAGGAGCAGAGTTAACACCATCTTCAACTTAAAACAGTTTAACTCCCCACCTATTGATTCCCAAGAGACTGTTTTGTGTTGTGAGGGAAAACAAATGAGATTACATTCCAGCAGAAAGAGATTCAATTAATGTGTTTTACCTTGCAACTAGAGAGGACAACCAGTGTGAATACAATTACTGTGGCTCCACCAATAGATACTCATTAAATTGCTGTACCTGCCACTTTCAATTGTGCGATCCAGTCCCCAGAGTTTGGGTTCTTCTGTTTTTTAACAGTTTGAAAGAGATGGAGACAATAGGAGTAGACATACCAAAGTCTTCTCTCAGTCATAATTTAATTTTCTAACCAGAAAGGCACATTAAGGTGGCTTCAGTCCCATGGGTTTATTTCAAAATTTGATAGGTCTGCAGATCCCCACAGCTTTCTCATTATTGATCCTTCCTAACATTGCAGGTTAACTGTTGAAGGAAGGGGATCACTTGTTGAGAGGAAGGAAGGATGATTTTTTAACTACTTTATGCATTCGGATGGCCATCCCTGTCATGTATTAAGGTCATTGTGTTTAATTGAAGATGGTGGTTAAATTAAAAAAGAGTAATTGCTCCTGGCCCCTCTTTTTATTAATAGTGAAAACTTTGATCAAACCGTTCCCCAAAGTGCCAGGAAATCAAAGTGAAAATAGTATGAATTAGCTTGTGACCTGAATTTTACTGTTTTCAGTGGTTTTGGTGCACTTTTGCTGATGTATTATGACATTTCACAACAAAGTTTTCCTTGCTTCCCATAAAGAAAATGAGAAACCTTGATGGCGCTATTAATTTTAATTAAAACTTCCACTGCATATTTAAGTTTTGTAAGAAATGCTCATCACTAATAAAGTTAAGTTAAATAGCTGTTGTTTAGATGTAGTTTCAAAACAGGGGAAGTCAGTTTCAAGATATAAAAAACACAGCAAAACAAACTAAAAACAGGTAATTTATTATTCTATTTGACTCTTTCATTCTTTCTCCTTATGATGTTTAAAAATAAATCAATTCAATCACCAGACTTAAGAGAAAGTTAAGACAATGATAGTTTGTTTTTATTAAGATAGGAAACTTTTGCAGTATCTGTCACAAGTCAGCCTTTTTTTCTGAGTCAGACTTAATAATTCTTTATAATAATCAGTGTATAAGCATGAGGGACATATATTTCATAAGCATTAGATTTGTAAACATCAATAAATATTACAGTTACAATACTATTTTCTTTTTGTGTAGTTATTTTTAGCAAAATATTCAGAACTGAAATTGTAAGATGCCTTAATTGCTCTGAGTTATACTGTAAATTAAAATGAGATTTCCAATATGCTTTTCATAGAAAAAGGGGAAGCATTTAATGTTGATTTCACGTAATCCAATCATAACTTAGATAAGCTCAATTTAGTACATGAACTAAAAATCGAGTGGGTCATTTTGGTGCATATCTGAAGGGATAGGTTTGTTCTGAATGTTTGGATTTAGTTCATCTCTTCTGGTTGCTCTGCCAAGCATCCCAGTCTGGGTGGGAAAAGCCCCGGGGGTGTCCCTGAGGAGAGGCAGGTTTTAAGGGCAGGCATGGAGAGGTAGGTTTAGAGGGGGCTGGTCACTGCCTGGGGGATGTGACAGCCCAGTTTGCCACCAAGTGCTGACCCTGTCTCTGCACACAGGAGGTGGACAAGTGTGCCCAGCTCAGGCATGGGCCCTTCCCTGCCTCCATCCCTCCATCAGTGAATGCCCAGATGGGAGCTAATCCAGGGGTGATGCAGGGATGGGGAGGCAGCTCTCACCTGTACACTAACTTGTCCCTTTCTACATGAAGGTCTGGAGTTTCTACTTGTAGGAGCTTGTGGAGCCCCACCTCTAATTAGTGGAACAGGAAGTTTTAACTAAACGCTTCGGAATCATGTGGTTTATATATGATCTTTATCAACATAGGAGTAACTGACTGCTGGCCTACACAGATAAACATTAAAGGCCTGAAAATAATTGCCCTCTCAACATTGACTATTGGGTTTGCCTTTTGGTCTTTAGTTGTTGTTGCTTCTTTTTGCTGCTTCATGATAGATTGTTTAGATTTTTTTAACAGAAACCAGGAACCTCATTTTTTTATCCCAGTAGCTGATGCTTCAAGACAACAGAATATCATAAATTTATGATAAAATTATTTTGAGTTAGAAGAAAAGATTGATGCAAGGAAGAGCTAAAAGAAGCTGAGTTTGTGAGGTATACAAAGTTCTCATATTCTTTTTTAGGTCTTCAGTGCTATATGTGAATGCAACACTGGCTACTGTTTCCAAGTAACCTTTCAGAGGTGTGTTAATAGTAGGAGGTGTATGCAAGCAGGAGATCTGCTTATCCTACTTTGAGAACCACAGCTCATTTTCTTGAGGAAAATAATACAAAGAATTAGCTCCAGCCCCTCTTGGTATTTCCTCTTAGGCCTTCAGTGAGAGCTGATACAACTGGATGTAGGTGCTTGAAAAATAATTTGGGAGCAACCCACAGCACACTAAACAAATCCATAATATTAGATTTTTCCAGAATTATTTTGGGACGTTCACATAGATCTGGTCCCACTGCACAGAGATGAACTTTATCAGGATAGCTTTTCTGGGACAGATTCCAACAAGATTTCCTTGTGGGTTTGGGATGAACATACTGGGCATATTAGATAACTGATGAAAATGCTAGAACTACTCCATGACAATTTTCTCAAGGTGGTCATGCCTCCACTGGAAAAAAATTGTGATTTAGGTGAAAATATGTATGCTGGCATGCGTCATGGTGATTTTAGAGAAAAATGTACTTTTATCAGGTAACATGATGGGGTTTTTTTTATGCAGAGGGAGATATCAACAGCAAAATTAGTGGTCGCTGTGGCCCTGTAATGTTCTCTTAAACCATACAAATCAGCCACCACCTGTCTAGTTAAGGACTAGCTTTTCATTAAATACTCTTATAAGCAAAGTTTTAAAATTACTAAGAGCATGCTGGAAAAATTAGTGTAGTATTTTAAAAAGTGATAATTCCATTTGCATATGTTGTCTAAGTAGCTGTGTGTAGTTCAGAAGGCATAAAGGAGATTCCATGGACTTGAAAACCTTCAGCCAGTGTCTCAGCTACTATAAATTGCCAAAAACTACAATATCTTAAAGCTGTATTAATTTATGTGACCCAAGGAGATGACATCTGGAATTTGTGGCACCACTGTGTAAATACCAGAGCCTTCAAACATACCAGGGTCAAAATAAATAATGCTTTTGGTACAGACCTGGCTCCATGCTTACATTTTACTTCCTGATTTAAGCAACATTCTGTAAAGCAGAGCAGGGATAAGGGAGCCTTCAGCAACTCTGCACCTTTCCCCAGCAAAACTTCCCTACCAGGCTGTTGCCATTTTCATCTTGCAGATGGAAACTGATGAAGAGAGAACCTGTCTCCTTACTGGAATGCTAAAAAATGCACTTTCTTTTCGGTGGACAAAAGAGGCAGTGGCAGAGCTTTCCAGTGCTAAGTAAGGGGCAAACCCTTCTGAGGATCATCTGACATGACAAGAAACGTGTTTTCTCGAAGCCCTCACTTGCCTGTGGAGTGACACAGGAGGAGGTGGAGAAATGCTCTTGTAGTGCTGCAGCTCTGCCCTTGTGCCCACACAGCTGCTTCCTTTGTGTCAGGACAAAACAAATTAAATGGTCCCCACCAGCTCTGCTTGTGCAATGTGCCCCTCTGCAGGGGTGGGTGGATGGACACTTGGGGATGGAGCTGGGCAGGCTAAATTGTTACGAATGTAAATGTAAAATTGTTTCCTTTTCTCCCTGAGATAGAAAAGGCAGTAATGAAAAACATTAGGAGCTGAGGATTGGCAAAAGGTGCCAATCCAAGCTTTATTCAGAGGAAAAATGCAGCAGTCTGGGAGGTGCCAGGGATGCTCCTGGCAGGAATAGCAGAGGGCAGAGCCATTCTTCCCTGCAGGAGGTTTGCTGTACTAGCAGGCATAGCTGTAGGCTGCTATCACCATAAACCTCCAGCTATTTTCATTTCATCAAAACAAATGGAAAGTTTGCCTCTAAACAGATATTAAATGCCCGAAAAGAGTCTTGGGCTTTTTCTAACATGGGAAAGATGCAGCGAGCCAAGCCCTGTGTCCTGTGCCGGTGTGGGTAAAGGTGTGTGGAGAGACACCAGGAAAGGCTGAGGAGCAGTTGCTGGGATGCTGGGTTGAAGCTGAGGGAACAGCTGGCTGTGACCCTGTGTCACCAGCATTAAATTAATGGGGTGGCTGCATGGTTGAGTGCCTAAGCCACACAAATCCAGCCAGGGGTCTCTTCTGAAGGAGAAGGAGCTTTGGCAACCTCTTGGCTGCCAGGGATGGTGGCTCTACAGGGACCATCAATGGCCAAGGGATGCTCAAGGGCAGAAACAGGCAGGTGTGTTACAGGCCAGCTTTGTCTCACCTCAGCTGCTTCTGAGATCTGTAGTTACCCTGTGGAGCTAATCAGCCTCCTAAACCACCAGACTTCTTAACTTCTTAATTTTACTCATTTAAAAATAGCCACAGGCTCTTTAAGGGGCTGCAGCTGAGGAGGCTCCCTTGTAACCCAGCTGGCTGAAAGGGCCCTGTAAAACTCACCTGCTCCCTCAGGTCCTCCACAGGGATGTTTTTCAAGTGTTGTAGAAAAAGACATTTCTGTCTTTGCAAGTGCTCCAATTCCCCCATGTTTTGACAGAAGGAAACATGGCACAAGGGGATGGCTACAGGGGATGCCAGTGCTGGCATTCGGCAGAGATTTGGCAGAAGAAATCCCAACAAGGAGAAGCCAACAGGACTTACTGTAGAGGCCAGAGACTTTCCTTCTTCATACTTACTGACTTCTCAGAGAGGTCCTGCTACTTCTGATGCCACAGGTTAGGGGACTTTAGGTTTCATTTATTTGCAGTGATAGCATTTTTCATGTGGAGAACAGGATAGCTAGTGAGGCTGTTTGGATTCTGCCACAGGATGTGTTGAAGGAATGAAGACACATTCCCCAGGCTGTGCTTCTGAATCCTCTCCTTTGGGCCTTCCCATTACCTTCAGCTCTATCAGAAGGCTGTAGGATGCTCCTGTGGTAAATCTAGTAATCTGCTGGACAAAGCACCAAGCACCTGAGAAGATCTATGGCTTGTGGACAGCCATTCTAATTATCCCTGTGGTGATTGCCACAGGCACACACACTTTGGGATCCTGAAAGAAAAACGCTGTTTGAATAGATGAGGTACTTCATTTCTGTGAGACAGGGTACTTTTCACTGCTGAGGAGCTACCCACAGCTCCTGCAGAGCACGGGTAGTCCATAAATCCACACACTAGCTTCTCCTAATACTCTGCTGAAGTAACCTACTCTGAGTCTATTCCTTTCAGCTGTGCATCCAGCTCCAGTAATAAGTGTTTAATCCCAATGAAGCCCAACTGCTGCAGGTCTTGTTTCTGAGGGACCCCAGCACAAACTCTGGATGTTTCAATGGGTATCAGCCCCTGTGAATGGGAGCTTCTAACACCATGATGCTGCAGCATGCATTTCTAGATAACACTCACCTTGGAACATGTTTACATTGCTGAGCAAACTAAATTCAAGTTCTGCAAATGCCACATCTTATCAGGGCCATTTTCTTTATTAGTTTTATTGCAAATTGGCTTGAGTCTATAGACTCTTAGAGCATGAAGCCACATCCAGCTAAGTCTTAGAAGCTGAAAATTAAAGGAGATTCAGCTGTTTCTCTCTGGAGCATTCATGAGGTAATAATAGTAACAATAAGGGGAAGGAAAATATAGCAGTTTCATTGTGTATTTTTTTAGAAAGTAAGGATTCTATTGAATATAAAATGATCATTGATTTTAGGCACTTTGGTAGACTAATGTTTGGTTTTAATGGAGTAATTTTCTGAGAAGAGCAGAAAAAGCTGTGTCAAGAGGGAACAACCCTCAGTTTGTATAGAGAGGTGCTGCTGAGTAGAAGTGCTGGAGTCCTTTATTTAAATAGGAATAATTATATTACTCAGGAAACTTGGATTTGAAAGCAGTTCCTCTGATACATTCCTCTTCAGGAATAATTATCTGCTGCATTCACCAAAGCCCAAAGACTGATCTCATATCGCATCAGATCATCTGCATTAGCTAAAATTAAAACAAAGGGAGAGGAAACAAATAAGAAAGGATGTAAAACTCCCAAATGCTAGGTCTAAAA